GTTCCAGCATTGCTTCATTCCAATGCACTTGAACCTTCTCCTACAGCCTCCCTTTGAGCTCATCATCAGCCCTTGACCTGGGAACTGGACACTTAGAGGCTTTGATGAACTGTTAGTGGACATAGAGAACAAACTGGCAAGTGGCTCTGATTATGTTTAGCCTCACGAAGGAAGTGTATTTAAAACCTCTCATTTTCAGAGTTGCAGAAAGACAGCCAATTACTTCCTTCTCCAAAGGTATTGAAACTGCTCCTGATTAGGCTGTCTGAATACTCTCGTTTTTACTCATCACAGTCACATCTGTTTGGGTTTCTGTCTCTCTCCTGGAGATGCCTCTTGAGAGCAGGTCCCCTTCATTTCGTACAGCTCATCTGTGGCCTGCCAAGGGAGATTGGCAGAGAATGATCAGCGTTCTATGCTCTGATAACTCACATAACTCTTTGAAAAGGATGCTAAAACCTGATTCTCAAGAGAAGCCACAAGGAATAGAACCAAAGGGACTTTTGTGTTTTTCTTTGGAATCCCATTTAGATTTTATGTTTTTTTTCTTTTTTCTAATTAAAATAGATTTTTATGTTTTGGTGGGGGGAAGTAGGAAGGAACTGGAAGGATAGGGAGTATAAAGAGAGAAAGATAAGGAGGTAGGAGGAACAGGGCAAATGAAAAATAATCACAGACTCCTGGAGCCAAAAGAACTTTAAGAAACAGCTCATCTAGAGGTTTTTGAACATTTTATTTCCAGTAATGGGATCATTTTTTAAACAAATGATACAGTGAGCCACAGTGTATAAAATAAATGAAAGCTGATGTGCTATGGTTCCCCCTCCCACTGGGAAGGAAACATATCATCTTCATGTACTTTTAGGGTGCTAAAGAACAGAATTTTAAAGCCAACCAATAGTATCTAAGCATTACTTTCAAAATGGGAAAACTGAGAGCCCCAATAGGAGAAATGACATATCCAAGGTCACACAGTCAATCAGTGGCAGACATATGATTAAAATATATGCCTCCTGCCCAGCCAGGCTAAAACTTTTTGGGAGTGGAATTGGAGGAAGGGGCTAAGAATGCATTCTTCCTGCACATTGTTAAGGAGAGTGTGGTGGGCAGTGCAATAAAGGAAGGAGGTCCAGAGGATAGGAACAAAGAAAAGTAGACTATCCAGCCTCAAGGAAGCTCAGAGGTGAAACAGAGAGCATTGAAACTCTGAATCTGGAGGAGATCCAGAAGTTTCATAGCAGAATTGTTTGGAATAAAGCAAGACAGGAGAAAAGGGATTTTGCAAATAGGTGTCAAAAGAGCGTTCTTTATTCTTCCACTAAAATGCCATTCTCTTAGTCTCAGATGGCAATGCAGAAGAAAGAGAAGGCAAAATGGGCTTCTCTGGGATTGGCAGTCCATGTGTCTTTCAGTATTCCTTCCTGAGATGGATAGGACTCTGGCCTAGTTCCCCTTTGAGGATGTGAGAGTGTTCTTCACACTCATCTCTGAGTAACTAAGCACCTGGGAAATAGAATGAGAGGAAAATATAAACTATCTGCTTCATTGATAAGCTGATTGGATAATATGTTTTGGGTAGACCCCAGCTGAAAATGGTCTTTCTTCATTTTCTGCTCTGGATTAAATTGACCCTGTAGACTTGAGTTCTCCTAGTGAAGGAGAGAAAAGAAAGCAGATGGTCTAAAGGCAGACAGATCACAGAATATTAGAGGCCCCCTTCTCCAGTGTCACCAATAACATACCATCTATTTTCTTATCCATGGGGATGAATGGTGGCTATAAAAATGGACAGACAAGAAATATGTCTGGTTCCCTCATACTGCTCATTTTTCAGGATTATAAAAGTCAACTGAGGAGAGGCCCATCAATGGATACCAAGCTACAGTTAAATAGAAGCAAGAAGTTCTGGTGTGTATTGCACAGTAGGGTGACTATAGATTACAAAAATGTAAAAAGTTAGAAGAAAGGATTTTGAATATTTTCATAGTAAAGAAATTATAAATATTTAAGGAGATCTATCTGATTTGAACAAACATCACATGGTGCCTGATTAATGTGTAAAATTTTAAGTTTTTGTGCTGCAGTTAAAAATTTAATACAAAATAATCAGAGAGATAGGGCTTGGAGCAAGAAAGGCATCTATTAACACCTGTAGAATCAACAGGCTGTCTGTTTGGGCCCAGTAGCTCCATGAGCTTATGGAATAGAGTTTAATTCTCCGTCAGAAGAAGCTGTGGGTGGTAGATAGGGGTTAGGAACTGAGCAGATGCGTTTACACATTTGTGTGTGCAATTTTGTAATAATAAGTGTCCCCCCCACCCTGATAATATATTCTTTAAGTCTTCTCTGGGTCTGTTTTCGTCTAATATCCACCTGAGTGGCCATACTAGTGACTCTCCAAGCATCCTGAAAATACCTTATGGATGGTGTTTGAATGAACAAATGATGAGAGCTTTCTCAGAAGACGAGTGGAGGAAAAAAGAATGGGGAAGTCTTACTCATTTTCTCAATATCATCCCCTCATTCTTTCCAGGTCCATACCTTTCCTGAATCCAAACTTTGTCCTTCTTAGCTTCTTCATGCCTTTTCTGGCTTCGATTCCAAGAAAGAAGCAAGAGTAGAAAAACAAGGGCCCTTGGGGTGGGTGCTCAACAGAAGGCACAAACAGGCAGCACGAACAAGGACCTCTTTAACTGTGCATCCACACCTCAAGAATCTGATCCTGGTCAAAACTTCTGACCCCTCTTTTGGTGAGTTTACTTCCCCTCCTGAAATGTAGCCAACAATTGCCTACATTCAGAGCCGGGAAACATCTTCTTCCCTTCTGAATCAATAGAAGTTGATATGTCAGTCATTCATCAATTATTTTCAACAATTTCTACTGAGCATTAGACTATATGATGAGATCTGTGACAGGAGATGGGGAACATAGTAGTGAACAAGACCTCTTCTCAACAGTCAAGGCATTTAAGGTCCAGTGGGACAGACCAGGTTTTTTTTTTTTTTTTAACCCTTATGAATTCAAGTCTGAAGTGTCCTTTTCTTTGGGGAAAGCTAAAAGCACAAAGGAATATGCAGGGAATTTCAGGCCCTTTGAAATCATCCTCCTGTAACTATCCATCAGCTTCTGCAGCCAACTTTCACCCCAGCTTTCCTTGCAGACAGGCAACATGATAATGATTCTGATGGAGCAAGAGACGTTTCAGTATTGGGAAGGAGATAAAGGAGAGGTAGCAGCAACAGCCCCTGTTAAGCAAGAGAATCTACAGAAGGCTCAGGTGATTCAGCTCTGATGGGCTAAGAATCCAGAAAGAGCTTCCGCCTTGCTGAATCTGAGCTTGTTGGGAGGTCAGGCAAGAAAAAAACAGAATGGAGTCTTGGGGATAAGCTATGTATTTGTTTTTGCATCTATCTCAATTCTGAAAAGATCTGTAAAGGAGGAGGAAGGAGTCCAGTAAAAGAAAGTGTAGGAGTGTAGTGGCAGCTCTAGGATAGAGCAGTCCTACTATTTGGGACTTCTGTTTGGCCTCAGAAATCAAGTAAAATAGTAAGACAACTGTGTCTGTTTGAAGGTAGGGATGTCGAAGGACCGTTCTCTTTACTGCATCCTTGACCTCAAAACTCCTTCTTTCTTCTCTTGTTGACAGTGTAGACAGAACTTGCAAATAGAGTGAAGTCAGAAAAGAGCCACACTGGATTCCTGAATTTTGGGGGAGGGGTGCTTGAGTTTGAAGAGCAGATAAAAAGAAGAAATTAGGAAACTGCAGATGGGCCATAGCTTAAAGATATTTCCCAAATACTGCCTATGGTTCACGATCCAGCTCTCCGCTTGGATCCCAAAGTCAAAACCCACAGCTTAGGGGGCGCAGAAGAAAAACAGGGTTCGGACCGCACAAATTGGCATGAAATGAAAAGTCAGCAAAAACCACTGGGTGGCAGCGTGGTGTGCGGGCGCAGCGCTGCAGTGCCTGCTGCTGCCGCTGCCGCGGGGGCTGAGCCCGTCTGGGAGCACTGGCCTCCTCTCCTGAATGGCTACAAGTGTCGCCATGCAAAATATTTCAGTGGGGGTGGGGGTGTTGGTGAGCCTGAGCCTGGGGTTGGGGGTCTGGTGAACTTCCAGGGGCTCCAGCCCGAGCACAGTCTGGCCCGCTAAGAGTCAAACACTAAGGGAACACCCCCACCCTGCTCCTCCCCGCACCCAATCGCGGAGCAAACCCCCGCTCCTTCAATCTAACTACCTCATCCCGGTGCCTCCTCCATCACTGTTTCCTCCCGAAGCTCCTTTCGGGAAAAGAAGAGGAGAAGCCTTGGGGCGATGGGGCAGAGCCCAAGCCCCTACAGGTGTTAGCTCCAACGGCCCGTCGGGGACTTGGGGGGTGGGGGGGTGGGGGGCAGCCGCGGCCCGGAGCCAACGGGCTCAGCGTCAGGAGGCAGCGAGGGAGGGGCCGGCGAGGGAGGGGGCCGTAGGGAGGCCGTCGCGCTCTTCGGGAGGGTGCCTGCAGAGACTGAATTCCTGTGCTGCGACTGTGCCGCGCCCAGAGCAGCAGCAACAGCGAGGATGCGAGGCCATTACCTGTTTGATCCCAGCCGGGAAGCCGGCACGGGCCAACTTTTCCCGATTATCAGGCCAAGAAGTTGCAAGGACTAGTGGAAGACTCGGAGGGGCCAGGACCAGGGCGCGCTCCCCCGCGCCGCCTCCCGCCGCTCCGGCCCCCACGCTCCCGGCCTCTCCCGCCTGCGCGCTCTCCCTCCGCCCTCCCGCCTCCCTCCTCCGGCCCCCTCCAGCGGCACAGGGCGGGGGGTGCCGCGAAACTCCGACCCGAGCCACTTGGACTCGCACAGTGTCCTCGGGGCTCAGGGGCCGAGCCCACGCAGTGGCGCAGCTCTCCCTCCGCCTGCCAGTCTCGCCTGCGATCCCGGCCCGGGGCTGTGGCTCGGACCCAGGCAGCCAGCAGCCCGCGCGGGAGCCGGACCACCGCCAGAGGAGCTCSGACGGCATGCTGAGCCCCCTCCTCGGCTGAAGCCCGAGTGCAAAGAAGCCCKGGCAAGCTCAGGCTAAGGAGACCAAGGCGGCGAAGCGCGAGACAGCGGGAGAGCAGCGRAGGAGAAGGAGGAGGAGGCGAACCCGGAGAGGGGCAGCAAAAGAAGTGGTGGTGGTGGGCGTCGTGGCCATGGCGGCGGCTATCGCCAGCTCGCTGATCCGTCAGAAGAGACAAGCCCGTGAGCGCGAGAAATCCAACGCCTGCAAGTGTGTCAGCAGCCCCAGCAAAGGCAAGACCAGCTGCGACAAAAAYAAGTTAAACGTCTTTTCCCGGGTCAAACTCTTCGGCTCCAAGAAGAGGCGCAGAAGAAGACCAGGTCGGAAGGGGATTTAGGAATTTTCGGGTTTTTTTCCCCCTGTACTTTATGAGTGTGGAGGGGTTTAGGGGGCGGGCATGGAAGCCTAGGTGAGTTGTCTGTAGCCCATATTGTGTTGGTGAGACTACCTAGTCCGTGTGCGTGCAAGGCAAGGAGATTGCTTTCTTGCCTCCTTCGTAACAGTAAAGAGCTTGCTGCATTGCAACTGCCCTGGGACAGGCGCAAAGCCTGGGGGCATACCCTGCCCAGGAGGCACGCCATCAGCTTCAGATGTGTCGCACATGTGTGTGCATGCCTGGTGGGCTCTGGGAAGGCGTGACCCAGACATGGCTATCGTGTGTGTGGCGTTGAAATTGCAGAAGTGGAGCTGGGCAGACACCATTGCCTGCTCCCCTTGGAAAACCCAGGGAATCCCTCTCTTCCTTGATCTCTGCCTGTCAGACCCTTCCCCTACACCTTCCGTCCCCAAGGGATGTGGGCTTCCGCTGTCTAGGCATTCCATTTCTTTGATTACTTTTATGCTTTTCGGGACAGACTTGTGGTGCAGCTTTCAAATGTTTGCGGGAGGAGAGGTAGGGTTTCTAGAACCTTGCGGCAAAGAGCTTAGTGATCTGTTTAGACTAGTAAAACTGTGGTTACTAGCTATTAAAATGCAAGATTGAAGAGGGAGTTTAAACTCATAGCTAGCTTGATTGTGGGTCCTTTTGAACCATTTCAGTGGTAAGAGTAGCACGATATTCTGGTGACAGGATAATTCAGATAGCTCTAGGTGTCAGGTTGCGTCAAGGTAGACCTTCAGGGGAACAAGCAGTTTGTCATTCTTAACTAAATGAATGTTTTGCAGTATTTTCTTACCTTTTACTAGGTAAATATTACAGCAAATCAGACTTACGCATCAATCTATTATTTCTTTATGTATTCTACACACCCCTGAATGGAAATGCAGGCATACGTCTTCTGTTTGCACAAAGTTTGTAAAGCATTAGCTGTAAATTAGGCTTGTTTTAAAGATGCTTAAGCGGTTGCGAAGTATGATTATGTGGCTGGAATAATCACATAAATATTTCAGCGCAGGTGTCTGTATTCAATAAAAGCAAATTTTGGATAACACGGCTGTTATTGGTAAATTAGTCTCTTGATTAATCTATGGTAATTCATAATTGAAAATCATTTTAATTAATAACCCATGTTTTGGGTAATCATATTTCTGATATTAAATCTGAAAATAAGTATGAACTAATTTTCTTTCCTCCCCATTAACAACAACAACAACAACAACAACAACAAAAAAAAAAACTTGCTCTTCTCACATCCGTTTTCCTTAACAGTAATTAATATGATAGGGCATGATGCTGGTTGTTTTATCTCCCCCTCCCTGTTTTGTAGGGAAGCCTCAGTTTTCTAACTACAGATCCTTTGATGGGTTCAAGGTTATTTTGCTTTTTTAACATTCTTAGAATGGAGGGGATTATTTATTCAAATTATGGTAATTCTGAAGGAAACCTTTGCTAGTGGGTTTTTGGCCCTTGGTTGGCAAACAACTCTAAATCATCCTTATACTTTTTTTCCTTGCACATGAAAGGCGGCACATTGTTAAAAAGGCAGAATGTACCATTTGCCAACCCATTCGAATGTTCAATCAGAGTAAGTCAAAGGACAAGCTATGAGACACTGTGAATGCTGTCAGAAGCTTTAGGGTTTTACCAATGTTCCAACGCTCTGAGGTAGAAATGAAATATTTCTTCAGTGGAGAAGCATGGAGATTTAGTCTGAAACTTTTAATTTGTTTTCTTCTTCTAGAGGATTCTTTAAACATGTAATTCAACCTTTTGCACTAGAATTTGTAACTGAGATTAGAATTTCGAATGGAGTCTTTTCAACTACATACGCACAATCCATCAATTGATTCAAATCATTGTTCTCTTTGCAGAGCCTCAGCTTAAGGGTATAGTTACCAAACTATACAGCCGACAAGGCTACCACTTGCAGCTGCAGGCAGATGGAACCATTGATGGCACCAAA